GGTCATTTGTAACTTGAATGTGCGAGGCTTCCGGTGTCATTCGTGCCCAGTTATTTTACCTGTGTTAAATAAGAAGTCTGTTGGTTGATATTGCAAACTGGTATTTGTTGTCATATTATTTGATTATAATAATCATAAACACCGTTTTGTTTCGTTTTAGCTCATATAGTTTTACTGTTTACTGCATTTTGTTATTCTTCTAGTTATTTAGGCAAATGAACCGGAAGTTTCGCACATTCACAGAACATATACTTTTGCTTAGCAAAATATGGTGGATGTTTATTGCTTACAGCTGTTGATGTAAGTTTCAGTTTTGAATGCAAACCAATAGTGTTTCATAGTTGGGCTTTTTGTAGCAGAAAACAATACACAGTAATGTTTTATTTTCATTAGGCCTAAATTTATTAAATTAATAAACATATTAATAACCAACAGTGCAAAAAGCCTATTACGTTTTGCGCTGGAATAGTTTGTTCATATTTTGTTTCAGAAATGTCATCAAGAAACAACGATTTTTTTTATAGCTACAACATAATTTCCAGGAAAAGTTGGGGGAAACAGTTTTTTTGCTAATCTAGAATTTGTGATTTGTTAACTCGCTTTATTTAACAGACAAATGTTCAAAGAAAAGCTCTCCTGACCAACTCTGTTTTGTGTTTTGTAAATGTGAACAAATCTCACTTGATGCAAGATTTGACCTGCTCAGCAGTCTGTGGTCGTCTTATTCTCTTCTTCATGACGTGCCATACATTTTCAATAGGAGACATGATCTGGACTGTTCAGTTCACCTGCTTATTGTGGAATGTTTCAAAACAATTTAACATGGATATTCTAATTTTTCACAAGGCTATTATTTTGCATTGTTTGTTTATTCATTTATTTATCTGAGTATGCTGAATCCAGCCAAATTGGTTTATATTTAAAAAAAAAATTAATTGGGTCAGTGAGAACACTGTACATCTTTTCTAGTTTAAACTGTTTGCTTAAATGGTGCTTAATTTGCTTAAATAATGGTTTAAACTGCTTCATGAAACGAGTCAGTAATGAACATAAAAGGATAGTAGTACAAACAGGCACTTTGTTTTTCCAAGTTCTTCCACAGTGAAAACCTGGGCTGTTTTAATATAAACAAATATGTAAACATTCATTTATAATATTTCAGAAGACCACTCATGCCACTGTGTGCATCCTCTCACACAGCATGAATCCAATCCACAAATACTAAGAGCTCCTACAAATGTATGCATTATAAATCCACAATATGTTATATTGTATGCTTATACAATACAATTCACAAACACATAAAGGTTATTTTGTATCTGTAATTTAATGCATAAATGTGCATACTTCAAAAACATACATTCCAACTGACATTTGCACAATAGACCATAAAACTTGTATGTTTGTCTTTTGCATGCACAGATGCACAGAAGATAACATGCTGTAAATGTTGAAAAATGATTAGATCTACAATATTTAAATGCTCTTTGTAGAGACTTACAAGAAACATCATGAATTTTCTCCCTAACAATACACATTTACATGTCCATATTTGCATTGCAAAAGTTTTAACGAACATGGAAAATATGAGTTTAAACGTGATACGGAACGTTTCCTTGAGTCTGGAAGCTTTTTCATCTAAAATGAATAGATAAGCTTGTTAATGTAAGTTTTTTAATTGGTTTGACTGCAGCATGATTGACTTACATACAGGGTGCAACAGGGCTGAAAATAATTCATTTAGAAAAAGAAATTGCCATATACAGTATCATCTGTATTTCTTCTTATCCGTGTTTAATACCGGTTTCTATAGTTACTCATTGATTCTTTGTTTAATCTCACCTGTTGCTTGTTTCGTCCCTCAGTTAGTATTTATGTTGCTGTGTTTGGTTCAGTTCTTTGTCAGTTCTTCTTGTTATAAGGTTTGGCTTGCTGCACTCCTGTGTTCCAGTGTGGGTTTTGTTTTCATTTAATAAAACTGTGTAGCAAATACTCCCCAAATGTGACAGAAGAACAGACATAAAAACATGGATTGAACCTATGGCTTTCAGTTTATGGACAAACTCACTTTAAAATTTGGTGAGATTAATCCTTAAACCTCCCTTTATAATTAACTGGCAAGTAAATGATTTAAGATAAAGTTTCATTTTCTAGTAATGTCTACTTTAACCTTTCATTTTCTCATAAAGACCCTCCCCTTCGAAAAGCTATAAAATGAGCACTGAAACAGGCACGTCATTTCATTCACCTCCTGATCAAATATGGATCTGCAAATCTCAGTTTTTCTTCTGTTCATCCTTTTCACTGCAGGTACTAAGACAAATAGTGTTTATAATGTTATTGAGTGCAAATACAGATAGAGTTTCTCTCTCATTGTCTCTCTCTCTCTGTAATCTTACTAAAGGACACTCTCTCAGCTGTTATGAGTGCAGGTTCAATCTGACGGGTTCTTGTGCAAATCAAAATGAAAAAACATGTCCCAGTGGATTTTCCAAGTGTATGAGTACAACAACAGAGGTAAAAGTTGGTAAGTCCAAAATGATGGATTGAAATTCTCTGATAACTGATAAAGATGCTGGTGTTTTTACTGGTGCTGCTTCACTGGAGATGTAACTTCTCACAGAACTGCTGATTTCCTCACAGAAATTGTGATTGTAATCACAGAATATTCTATTTATATTTCTGTTTCTCTCAGTTTTTTTAATACAATTAGTATTCAAATTGATTGAATCAAATGAGAAAATGCTACATTTTAATGTTTATAAATATATTTTCTTTCAAAATAATGTGTTGAACTGGTCTTTCCTGAATCATTCATGTTTTAGGTGGCATTAATGCTAAAGTGAAGGCTAAAGACTGTGCTGTTGACTGTGTAAGTGGGTCCATGAACCTCGGCACTGCAAAGACATCTTTAGCGTGCTGTAACACAGACCGGTGTAACGTCCAAGACGCTCCAGGTATCATGCTTTACTGACCATATGCAAAAAAAATTATCTTTAAGATCAACACTCATTTTACTTCCAAAGGAGATCAGAAAATACAAATTATACCATATAGAGTGCAGCTTGCCAGTTGTGAATTGATTGATTGGAACAGCTAACAGAGTGTTATTATTTCATTACATGCTATATTTTGCACAGAAGATAAAACAATGCATGTTTCCTCCTGTAGATCCCAGCACTAGCGCCCCCAATGGAAAGACTTGTTACTCTTGTGATGAGAAGAGCTGCTCAAACATATTGAGCTGTTCAGGAAGTGAAGACCGCTGCTTTAAGGCAACAGGTGAGAATCTGGAAAAGAAAAAAAGTCATTATTTGTATCTCTCTGATGTTTGAGATCACATACAGATCACATTTACCAGTTTCCAACTTAGACCAACCTCTCTTTTCTTTCTTTTCATCAGGCACTATCGGTGGCCAGTCAACAGTTGTAAAAGGCTGTCTCTCTAAATCTATCTGTGATGCTGAAACTTCGGTTAGAGATGTTCAGAGTGCCTCATGCTGTGAGGGGAACCTGTGTAACAGTGCTGAGAGCGTCACTCAGAGCTTCCTGTTCCTCTGCTGTTCTCTGCTCTCCTTCATCCTGCTGCACTGAATCCAGCAGCTCTTCACATTCTACACTGAGACACACTGTACTGAATGTAGAGCTTGTACTTTCTCTGTATCTGTGCATATTTGGTGTGTGATTTTTTTTTTTGCTGTGACATTCTGATGTGACATTTTATGAATTAAAACAATTTATACAGCCCATCATGCTGTAAAAAAGTTATAAATCATTACTACAAAAATGTATTTTTATTGTTTTAATTCTTAAAATAAAAAAAATTAAATGATCATTATGTTCAGAATAAGCATGTGTGATAATTATTTAATTACTCAAACAAGACAAACTCTTTAGTTTTCCTGAGGTTTGAGGTTACAGATCATGAAGGCAATAAGGGAAAAATTTAGATAGGCCTATGTTGAGAAGTAATATTTTGCAAATACATTTGTCAATATTTTACACTCGGTATATTTTATGTAGCTGCCCCCTAATAGTCAACTAAACATTAGTCGAGGAGAAGAGTTGACAAAAATTGTATTAGTCGGTTAGTCAATTATCAACAAACGGTGTGTTTCGAAAAAGAAAAGAAAACAAACACAATGTGCTTTCTGCCGTCTCGGTCTCCCTGAACTGGAGCGGGTCCCAAAAATGAACTGAAATTCAGCGTATAGACTTGCCTCACAGACATTAGAAACATCTCTATAGAAAGCTTGAATATAAACGTACAACTAAGGAATTAAAACATTTTAGGTAGGTGGGTGGTAAAAAATATCACATCTGGAGTCTTGACCTGAATATGTAATCGAGCAATGATTCCTGATCAGGGGACACTTAAACAGGTTTCAGTGTGTAATTGTATTTCTGTGGTTATTTCATAAATTTGTTAAAGTTTTTCCTCAGAAAATGCACGATTGTCCCCAGCTCAAAAGAAAATGTTGATAATTGTAATAATGGCCTCTTTAATAATACTAATAAAAATAATGCTAAATGGCATGCAGTATAATAGAGATATAAAAGAGTTTATAGGGGAAAAAACTCCATTCACATCAGTGGTGTAGCAAAATCTGTTTTATTGAATGCAAAGTGGACTGCATCTTCATGGTGGCCAGCAATATGCCAACACGACCATCACAAGAAAACAAAAAGAGCCTGTATGGCCTTTTAGCAGTGCATTGGAAATGAGTATTGTGGGTGACCAGCTTTGTTTATTAAGAACTCATTATGAAGTTTCAAAGTAAAATAGAATTTGACGAGATTTGCCTAATGCACCCTCATGTCAAGCAGCTGAAGTTTTCAGAATAAAATACAAGCTAGTAGTTCCATCTAGTGGTCAGAATTATTGAAACACTCTCTACAGAGAACAGAGTTTGACTTTTGTTTACCACCCTCCTTATTGACTGGTTTTAGCTTAAAAGTGAATAATTGTAATAATGACCTTCAATAATAACAATAACAATGATGTTATATTATATTCAGTATGAGTTCAACAAAACACATGAAAGGGAACTTGAACCTTTTTTGATGGAACGGTCAGGATACACAGCACAAAAAAGGTGTGGAAACAGTTAATTTAAAGTTGAAATAAATGACTACCCACTTACCTTTTCACTTACAAAAGTTCAGCATCCACAGTACTTTTGAAAGCTTAAGACTCCAATCAGTGGTGTAGCAAAAGCAGTTTTATTCTACAAATAACAGAGATCACATGACCATGAATCACACAGGAAACCAATAAGCCTGCTAATAAGAGGCATTTGACACTTGATATTATTTTCTTTTATTATAACTCTAACTTTTGGATTCAATACATTGTTAATCTTTTTATTATACTTGGCAAATGTTTTATTCATTAGTGTAAATTTTTGGGTAAGAACCCAATACTGTCAATTTTCCTGGTTATAATTCTTACGTTTTATCTTTGATGGGCATAAAAAACAAAAAATCATTCAAAAGTCAAAAATTGCTTTCAATTTTTAACCTTGTATAATTCAAAATAATTTTGTCCTCTGTTGTTTTTGAGGTTGTTGTGGTTACATGCCTG